TCCATAGCCAAGAGACATGTTTAGAGACACTTGGAATCATTGTGATTAAGATCATAAATAAAGTGACCTTATTTTGAATCTCTAAATTTTGTATGTGTGTCTGCGTGTGTGTGTGTGTGTGTGTGTGTATAGCGGTGTGTGTATGCATGTGTGTGTGTCTAATCAAATGTAGTATATTTTTCCTGAAATCCATTGAGGACTTTTAACCAAAATAGACTTCTGTATGTATAAGTGAGAATTATTTCAATGGATGTCATGGTTCTATATATGATTCCAAGTACAAATTTGAAGTTCTTAGCAAATCATTTAGGAAAACTATGTTCACATTTCATGTTTTTCATATTTAATGTGTTCTCATTTGTTTAACTTTATATTTTTGGAAAATTAGTGGAAAAAATCATATTTGTTATAATTGTTTATATATAATTTGCATTTGCATAATGTATTATGTAGTTTAATTTTTAATTGTCAATTATGTAGATGTTTCAGAAATCATCTCAATTCATACTCTCTCAGTTCTGTCATTAAACTGCTTTACTCAGCAAGGTTGAATATCTCTATGTGGATAAAAATCAAATTTATGATTATATATATAGATCATAATTTGTGCATTACCAAAAATTGATTATGAAGAAGAATTAGAAACAATGTTAGAATTTGGACCTAATTTTAAATTAATCATGATTTCAATTATTCTTATAAATTATTTTATATAAGGAATAAACTTTATATATATAAATTAATTTTACATAAAAATATATTAAAAATTAAAACATTGGTTTACAAGAAAAAATTATACTTCCCTAATACAATTGTTTATTATCGATTTGAAAAAAAATTACTCAGTAAAGCCAGAGCTTAATGAGGCCAAACACTAGTATTATAGAATTATTTCACTAAATTGAAAGGTCTCTTTTTAATGAAAGTACAGAACAAGTTGCAATAATTTTTTAACTCAGGCATACTTCCTTCACACCCTCATCCAGTCTATGTTTGTCTGTCTGTTCATTTTTTTCCCCCTTTCATCTAAAATCTATCTTTCTTGTAGAGACATTCTGGCTGGCAGTTTTTCTCATCTGCCATCTTACTTCCCCTCCTCCTGAATGGTCATTACCTGATAACTAGAATCTATATAGAACTCAGGAAAATCAGCAAGAAAAAATCAAACAACCCTATCAAATAGTGAGCAAAGGATATGAACAGAAACTTTTCAAAAGAAGATAGACTAATGGCCAACAAACATGAAAAAATGCTCAACATCTCTAATCATCAAGGAAATGCAAATGAAAACCACAATGAGATATCACTTAACTTCAGTAAGAATGGCCTTTATCAAAAATCCCCCCAAAAATAAATGTTGGTGTGGATAGGGAGAGATAGAAACAGTCATATGCTGCTAGTAGGGCTTCAAACTACCGGTAGTACAACCCATGTGGAAAGTAATATGGAGATACCTCAAAGAGCTAAAGCAGAACTACTATTTGATGCAGCAATCCCATTGCTGGGCATCTACCCAAACGATAAAAAGACATTGTATAAAAAAAAGACATCTGCACTCGAATGTTTATAGCAGCACAATTTACAATTGCAAAGATGTGGAAACAACCCAAGTGCCCATCAATACATGAATGGATTAATAAAATGGGGTATATGTATACCATGGAGTTCTACTCAGCTACAAAAAGCACTTCTTGTATTATCCTGCATAGAGCTGGAGCCCATTCTACTAAGTGAAGTATCACAAGAATGGAAAAATAAGCACTACATGTACTCACCATCAAATTGGAATTGAGTGATCAATACTGGAGTGCACATATAGTAGTAACATTCATTGGGTGTCAGGCAGGTGGGAGAGGGGAGGAGGGGATGGATCTATTCACACCTAATGGGTGTAGTGCGCACTGTCTGAGGGATGGACACTCTTGAAATTCTCTGACTCCGGTGGGGCAAAGGCAATATGTGCAACCCAAACAACTGTACCCTCGTAATATGCTGAAATAAAAATATAAAAATCAAAATCAAACCAAAAATATTTAAAAAAATCAAAGGAAATGGAATAAAGAGCTTAGTTGAAAAAAATTTTAGTTGAATTTTATTAGTGATAAATTTTCTAATGAGTTGTTAAAATATTAAAATTTTACTGAAATGTAAATATTACATGTATTAATTATGTGCTCTATATAACTAATATAAGGAATTGAAAAATACTAAAAATCATTAATGTAATTTATTTTAGCACACATTTAACCTCATTTTTAAACCCATTACTATCTTTTTTTTTTTTTTTTTTTTTGTTGAGACAGAGTCTCACTCTGTTGCCCAGGCCAGAGTGCCATGGTGTCAGCTAGCTCATAGCAACCTCAAACTCCTGGGCTCAAGCTATCCTTCTGCCTTAACCTCCTAAGTATCTGGTACTACATGCATGTGCCACCATGCCAAGCTAATTTTTCCTATATATTTTAGTTGGCCAATTAATTTTCTTTGTATTTTTAGTAGAAAAGGGGTCTCACTCTTGCTCAGGCTGGTTTCGAACTCCTGACCTTGAGCGATCCTCCCTCCTCAGCCTCCCAGAGTGCTAGGTTTACAGTCGTGAGCCACCGTGCCCGGCCTCCATTACTATCTTTTAAAGTCTAAAATTAATTCCATATTTTGACTTAGCTACATATTGTTTTGTAGTTTTCAAATATAATCTCGACTTTTCTGATAAAATGAACAAACAATAAAGAAAAGAACATAAAGATGTTCAGGTGGGTGAGTTCAAAAGTGGATTTGTAATACAAATTAATCTATCCTGTTTCATTCAGAGGTCAGAACTGCAAGCTAGCTAGAAATATGACTTTTAGGTTTAATGATGTACTAAAACAAGATGGGAAGCAATGATCCCTTTCGAAAAGGTCTCATAGTCAAATAGATGATCACCCTACATACAAAAAGAAATATACTTCTCTCACTTACCACTGAAGATGTATGCCCAATGTAATGTATTGAGGTTTGTTTAATTATTATACATATTACTCTCTATTCCATAGAGAATTTTACAACCAAGTCTAGACAGTTAGTGATAATACATATTTATATTAATGACAGTCTTTTAAATTATTTCCTTATTTGGAATTCCAGCACCAAGGGTAGTCTTTTTTTCTAAAGTCATGGAACATAATTAGCATATTTATTAACACTGATCCTCTCTTAGCTTCTCTAATAATATTTTATCCTGATATTTCTTGCATTCCTAAAACAAATCTGAAGCTTTTTTAAAATGATAATTTTAATTGTATTATGAAGACTAATGTCTCCCAGGTTGCTTTCATTTTTTATTAATTCAGTGTCTAAGTAATTACAAAAAACTTCCTAACAGGCCATCCACCCTTCAATTCTATGATCTTTTCTGTAGATATTAGCATTAATTTGTTCCAATAAGACTACTTATTGAATTTCAAGTCAAAAGTAGACAAAGTAATAATCACATTAAGCATCAATATGTGTGTATGAATGTATACATTTTTTTCTCCTCCAAACTCTTTAAAACAAAGACACGAAATTAAATATTTTGATCAAATATACTTTTTTTATGCTGAGTCAAAAATGTTTTTTGTCTTGCTCACATCCCTTCATGAACTCTGAAGTACTCAAATTTAATCTCAACTTATATAGCACTGAATTGTTTGTCATTAAAAAAATATGTACAACTCCTGGTTGATTCTAAATTCTGTTTAGACTATGGCCCTTAACAGATAACATAAGGAACATTAAGGAGGAGCTGGTTATAGGGTAGAATTTTTTAATTTCTATGTCTTATCAAATGGAAAGAAAGACCATGAGATTTTGCTAATAAAGACTTACAAATTCACATTAAAGTATTTCTCTAAACTATTTAGCAAATGAGTCATTACATAAGTTCATCTATTGAATAATCAATAATTTTTCTTTAATGTGTCATATACACATACTCTGTCCTCACTATAGAGGAACATAAATGTAAAACATAATGTTTGACCTCAAGATGTTTATTGTCTAAAAGGGTAATTGGCCATATGAACAAGTGCAACACAGAGTGATCAATGCTATGATAATAGAATATGGGAACACAGACGATGGGAGTGAAGGTCAGGGAAGATCCCTTGGAAGAAAAAACATTTCATACAAACATTAAATGAACATTAGGTATTATTCACCCTTGAAAAGGGTCATAATGAATTCCAGGCAAAAGAATTCTCATAGGTGAAAAGAGCAGTAAAAAAGCCAGGCACATTTTGGAACCAAAACATATGTTAGCTCAACTCACTATGTGTCAGTGTGTTTCTGTGTCAGAGAGAAAGAGAGAGAGTGAGAGAATGGACGATCTAAAGATAATTGTTAATGTCTCAATATAAAATCACGGTCTAAATTATGATACTTTATTGGTCACCAAAGGCAGTGATTGGACTCTACAAAATATATTAAACAGGAAAATAAAATAATGATGTCTATAAAAGTAATAATACAGAGAATAATTTCCATTTATTTATGCCTTCTATACTTTGGACAATGCACTAGTGATTTCTTAACATAGTCTGTCTTTTAGAAATTAATATTATATAGTCAGTAATATCAATGGAAAACTTGGATTTCAATCCTAGCTCCACCAGTTTCTCAGGAGTCAAAGTGCTTGTTTGAATATTAGCTTTATCACTTTCAAGCTGTATGAACTTGAGCAATTATTTAATCATTCCTAAGTTTTCATATTTATTAATACAAATAAACTCCATCTCATGAAGGTATTGTGATATATACTGAACAAGTAGTGTTTGTCCTATAGTAGAAACTCAGAAAATAATATTGATGCTAAATGCTTTTTGTAATATTTGCAATGACCTCATTTCATAAATATTTTCATAAAAAGAAGGGGAAGCTAGAAGTTCAATAATTTGCTCAATATCACAAATTGAAGAGGTAGTAGAAAATGAATTGAAGCCCAAACCAATCTTATTCCAAAGTCTGTAATATTTCATAATGTTTACCTGTCTCTTATTTTCAAATGTGCTGCAATATGCTGAAATAAAAAATAAATAAATAAATAAAAATCACATAAACACAACAATGCCAAAATAAAGGGAAAAAACCTGGCAAATTCCACAAAATAGCTTACAAAGAAATAACACAATTCTTATCAAACTTTTTCAATGAAACAGAAGAAAAAGAAACACTTTCAACTCATTTTATGATGCAGAATGACCCTAAAAACATAACCATATGAAAACATTATCAATATAAAAAGAACAACAGATCAATATCCCTTATGAACATCCACTCAAAAATTAATCAACAAAATATTAGCAAATTGAATATAACATTGTTTAAAAAGACTAATATATTACAGCCATATGAGATTCATCTCAAGAATTCAAGTCTAGTTCAACTGAAAAATAAATCAATGTAATCTACCATATTAACAACTAAAGAAGAAAAAAGACATTGGGATATCACCTGCAGAAAAGTCATTTGACAATATTCACTATCCATTTATCTAAAAAACTAATAGTAGAAGAAAATTCCTCAAACTGACAAAGGATATCTAAAAAAAAAAAAACAAAACACCTCAATTAACATTATATCAAATGGCAAAAGACTTAATGCTTTCCTTCCAATATTTGGAAGAAGCCAAAAGATTTATTCTCAGAACTCCTACTCTACTTTGGAAGTCCTAGTCAGTACAATTGGGCAAGAAAAGGAAATTTAAAAGTTATTGTTTATAAAGAAAGAACTGAAACGAGTCCTATTCACAGTCAGCATGATTTTCTATTTACAAAACCCTAAATAATATAGAATATATATACAAAAAATAAAATTCTTAGAACTAATAAGTGGGTTTAGTAAGGTAGCAAAATGGAAGTTTAACACAAATAATATTTTTATACATTAGTAATGTATAATTGGAAACTGAAATAAAAAACCAACATCATTTATTATACATGATGGCTTAAGTAACTTTGGAAATGAATGTAGTCTGTGAAACTTAAGGCAAAAGAAACTGCACATAAACAATTTCCTCTATATGACAAAATTGTGTTCCTTGGAGTTTCATTTTATTTCTTCTAAAACCAATAATATATATAATAGAATTGCACGATTGAGTAATTATATGTCATATGGTGGGAGACAAGTTTCTTGCTGTTGGATTGGGAGATAAATAAGTGCAGGGGTTAGAGTAATCCATGTAGTAATGGAGTAGAATTGTAAACCTCAGGATTTAATTTAATTAGCTTAATATACATACAGAAAATAACATAGAAATATTAATAGATATGTGTATATACACAGGATAGTATATATACATATATTTCATAAATATCCATGAGTCTACACTCATATAAATTCATAATTATATGAATAATATATATAAGAATAGACAAATATTCCATGCAAATATCTACTTATGTATGTATTTTGTCCTCAAAGAGGTGAAGCAAAACTATCCACTCCTTAAGTGTGGCTCTACATGGTGACATTTTCCAAAAAAATAAAGTATGGGAATGGAAAAAAAGAGTAACCTTACATGACAGAAGTTAGACAAACACTACCTCAGCCAGATGATCCAGGTTAACATGAATAGAGACAAATCACATTGATAACATGTACTCTTAGGAAGTGCTGAAATGGCACTTTACATACATAGACTTTCTCCCTGAAACCAATAATACCAGACTAGTCATGAGAAAAACATCAAACTATGTCCAATAGAAGGACATTCTACAAAATCCCTTACCGTTACTACTCAAAACTGTCAAAGTCATCAAAATTAATGAAAGACTGAGAACCTGTAACAGTCAAGAGGAACCTTAGGAGACATGATGACCACAAATGTAATGTGGTGTCTTTGATGGCATTGTGGAAGAGAAAATGGATACTAGATAATAGCCAATGAAATCTGAGTAAAATAGGAACTTTAGTTAATGTAACATTATCACTTTACTAGTTTTGACAAATGTCCCATATTCACATAAGATGGTAATAATAATGGAAACTGTGTGGTGAGTATGTGGCTACTTTCTGTACTATCTTTACATTTTTTTATTTTTTTTATTTTTATTTCAGCATAATAAGGGGATACAAATGTTAATGTTACATACATTGCTATTGCCTTCCCTACCTCCTCGAGTCAGAGCTTCAAGCATGTCCATGCCTCCGACAATGCACAATGCAGTTATAATATATATATATATAAACTCATCCTCTCCCCCTCTACCTGCCCGACACCCGATAAATGTTTTTTTTATAATATTTTGGTTAGATTTTATAATTTTGCCTTTACTTAGCAAAGGTTAGAGGTATGCCCTTCCCCTCCACACTGTTTGGTGCGTCTCTCAGATGTGGATCTATCCCCCACCCTCTGAATCTCTAGTGAACACCACCTCCCTTTGAGCACCATATTGGAAATCAGTCAGTACCAATGTGACGGTGAGTACATATGGAGCCCATTAACTTAATGCAATCCCCATCAAAATACCACCCATCATTCTTCACAGATCTAGAAAAAATAATTATTCGCTTAGTATGGAACCAGAAAAAACCACGTATAGCCAAAGCAATCTTAAGTAAAAAGGACAAACTGGGAGGCATCAGTCTTCTTGACTTCAAGCTGTACCATAAAGCAATAATAATTAAATCAGCTTGGTATTGGCATAAGAACAGAACCATTGATGTTTGGAATTGGTCTGAGATTCTAGAGATGAAACCATCAGCATATGGTAACCTAATCTTTGATAAAGCAGCCAAAAAATATGTTTACATTTTTTAAATAACTCGAAAACTATTCCAAAATAAAAAAAATTTATTAAGAATGCTTAAAACTTTTGCTCTATTAAAATATGGATAAGAGAATAAAGAGACAGAGCTACAGAGTAGGAAAAATATTTGTAAACCATATATGCAGCAAAGTATTTGTGCTCAAAATTATTAAAGAACCCCAGAACATCAACAGAAAGAACGCTAACAATCCATTATAAAAGGGCAAAAATATTAAAAGGTATTTTATCAAATAAAATTCATGGATGTCAAATAAGCACATAAAAAAGATGTTTGACATCATTAACCATCTGCAAAATGCAGAACAAAGTTCTAATAACATACCACTACATACCTATTAGAATGGTTAAAATTTAAACATACTGACAATACCAAGAGGTTGAGAGAGGTTGCAAAGCAACAGGAACTCTATATTTTGCTGATGGGAATGTAACATGGTATGGCCACTATGGAAAACCATACGTCAGTTTCTTTTAAATTTAAATACACACTTACCATAGGAACTAGTAATCCCACTTCCAAGCATTTACACTAGAGGTAGTGGCAGGTAGTGACAACTCATGTAATTCATGTCCATACAAAAGCCTGTACGAATGTTTATAGCAGCCCTATTAATAATCACCAAAACCTGGTAACAACCGTATTGTTCTTCAATAGGTGAATGAATAAGCAAGCTGTGCTACAATCATAGCAATACTACTGAGCAATTAAAATAGAATAACCTTTTTAATGGGGTTGTTTGATTTTTTTAAGAAGACAGACCAATGGTCAAGAAACATATGAAAAAATGCTCAATATCTCTAGTCATCAGGGAAATGCAAATCAAAACCACAATGAGATATCACTGAACTCTAGTGAAAATGACTTTTATCAAAAAGTCCCACAACAACATTGCTGTGAATTTAGAGAGATAGGAACACTCTTACACTGCTAGTGGGACTGCAAACTAGTACAATCTCTATGGAAAGTAATATGGAGATGCCTCAAAGAACAAAAATTAGAACTGCCATTTAATCTAACAATACCATTACTGGGTATCTACCCAAAAGAACAAAAAACATTATAAAAAAGACATCCACACTAGAATGTTTATAGCAGCACAATTCACAATTGCAAAGATGTGGAAACAACCCAAATGCCCTTCAATACATGAGTAGATTAATAAATGTGGCATGTGTACACCATGTGTTATTACTCAGCCATAAAAGTCAACTGATACCTCTTTTATTAACCTGCATGGAATTGGATACCATTCTTCTAAGTGAAGTATCACAAAAATGGAAAAAAAAACAAGTACCAAATGTACTCACCATTAAATTGGAACTAATTGAGCAACACTTAAGTTCACTTTTGGAAATAGCATTCATCGGAAATCAAGCAAGAGGGAGGGAGAGGAAGGGATGGGTAAATTCACACCTAAAGAGTACAATGTACACACTCTGGGGGATGGGCACAGTTAGAACTTTGGCTCAAACAGTACAAAACCAACTTATGTAACTAAAAAGTTTGTACCCCCATAATATTCTGGAATAAAATAAAAAAGGAATAATCATTGATAGATGTAATAACATAGATGAATCTAACAGGCACTATTCTGAGTGTAAGAAGGCAACCTCAAAAGTTTATATACTGTATGACTCCATTTAGATGGCATTTTCAAACAGTCAAAACTCCACCAGTGAAAAAGAGAACAGTAGTTTCTAGTAGTTTGGGGGTTCATGGGATATGATTACAAAGCTACAGCATGAAGGAGTTCTTTGGACTGACAGAATTATTTAGTATTTTAATTGTGATGATGGTACAAAAATCTATACATACATTTAATTTCAGAGAACTGTATATCAAAATAAAGTCAATAAAAACATGCAGTGACACAGTCAGAGACTAAATAAGTAATTGCAAGTGTGTTGAATGTCACCAGGCAAATGGAAAGGCAAATGGGAATTAAGAGAGAGTTTAGAGATTAAGAAAAACTCAGAGAAAACCAGCATAACTGTTACATAAAGTGGAAAAGAAATAGGGATGATATGGCTGAAAAGGGGGGAGGCAGCTAGATCTTTGAAGATACTATCAACCATAGAAAAGCATGTGAAACTATTGGCGGGTAAATTTATTTTCTTAAAGGTTAACAAACTTGGACTACAATATATCTTACTGCATGGAGACATTGCTTAAAGCAGAAATGCCCATTGGGCTTAATTTATAAAGCAGTGAAGTGCTGCCAAGCAGTTTTATACCAGTTTATAT